ATATACCCATAGATACCATTACAGTATTGTCTCCATAGTGATATACTGTTCAACTGGCTACCTCGGTAACGTCATCACCACCACAATCGTTACCCACAACAACGTGCCTAAAAATAGCAATATCACGAATAACTAACAGCAAAGTACAAGTACCTTACTGGCCACCTCAATAACATTGTCATATCCATGGCATCTCTCTTAAGCCATAAACATCACCGATTAATATCTAAAATAACTTTTTCTACCAAAGGGTTCAAACTTGAGATGCTTACACACTTTTTCCCCACTAGGATAAAAAGCTGCCACAACTTTTCAACAGGGTGCAAACATGAAATGCAGACCAACTTTTCAAACTGGGACCAAAGCCAAGGCTGCCCAATATTTGCATCAAGTCGACAGGGTTAAAACTTGGGATGTCCTTATTTTCCAACTGGGAGCAAACGTTCGATACTGTTCACTGCAAGATGAAAGTAGGGAAGTGCACCTCATGATCATATTGCAGATTTCTGTAAGGGATGGAAGATTGGCCCATGCATGTCTTCATCCATCCACAGAAAAAATAAATGGGACTTGAGCCAGCAGTATCTGTACCTACTTTCAGCTGTATAAGCTAGGATTCTCTCTGTGCTTATATCACCTTTTCAAAATAATTTACATGAACTTCACCTGACTACAATATGATCTCAACATTTCAATGAAATCCACATAAACCATACTTCACCGTACTGTAATATAAACATTCAATTTTTGTTTCTGTTTACTCGGACTAAAAAAACAAACAGTTTTTTTTATCACATAACCATGGTTCATATCAATTCTCTGTTGTAACGTTTAGTCAAGAACAGACTGAAAATGTGTGAGAAACTTTATGTTTGTGGAAAATGATGACAACTTAGCAACAAAAACACATGCATGTTTCTCTAGCCAGGGATGTTTTTATTGAAATCAATAAATTAACATTTCTTTGCTGTAATAAAAATAATATTTTTTTTAATTTTACACATGATTAGTATGTAACAGTCAAAATATTGGTTCTGACCCAAATAAAGTCATTAAAGCTAAAAAATAAAAAACTGAGATTCATCAAATATTCAAAGAAGACTATATTCTATGATACCTGTAAGAACAGAAAATTCTAATAGAGAAAATATGATATTGTCACAAAATGTGAGAATCTGTGAAATACAGTAATGTATGAAAAACATATCTGACATTAATATGGAACCTCGATAAATGAAAAAATATGTTCCCAAAAGACATGTAGTTTAAATTGATTTTGTTATTTTTTATATTTAGTTTGAGCTTAGCACGCTTGTTTACAAGAGTGAATGTTAATTGGTTCTTTAAAGTTTTGAAAAATGTAAAAAAATAAAAGTTGAACAAAATATTTGGGAGGGAGACAGACAGGGGGAAAATAGATTGTAACATGAAAAAATGCACCTTGAAATCTGAGGGTTTTTTTGCAGTTGATATTTCTAATGAGAACAATAAATATAAAGCATTTTAATATTTCAGCCCCCAAAATAAAATTCCATTGGATTTTCATTAGTAAAAACAATTTTGATCTCATCAGCTTATGTCATCTAGTAAGGTGTTGATTTCATTTCAAACACGTTTTGTCTGTTCCATCTTTCGAATGTTCTGAATAAGTCTGAATAATTAAGACATGGACACGACTAACACAACTTTTGACAATATTGAGTTATTGAACTATGAACCTCAGTACTAAGACAAATTTTCAATTCAAAATGGCCGCCAGACTAGGATTTCAAGGGAAATTACAAAGTCATTGCTTCCATAGAAACATGTTTGGTTCCTATTTATTTTTGTTTGCTATTTGTTGTTTAGTATTTTTAGCTTTTAAATAGTCCACATTTTTACTGTGTCCATTCATAAACAAATGATTATTAAATTCTTCATTGAGGCCTGTTTCTTCCATCAGTTGACAGAAACTGTATTAATGTCCTCATCTGAAGTCACCAACATGGATATGTATCCCAACTTCAGGTTTCCTGTCCTTGGATTTGCTGCCAGACTCGTCATCAACACCAGCAGCATCATTTTTCAATCGGTTTTCCATTCTCCTGTAATATATATAACATAGTGTCATCTGATTGTTACTGAATTTTCTTTGGCATTAACATGGCATGTTTCCCATAGGGTGTACACAATGTTAATTTTATCTCTAACACACAATGCATGATGACTGTGGCTCTGTAATGGAATTCAAATACTGGCATCTGACAAATGCACTAGCATTTTTAAAAACAAAACAGTCAAATATTGTCTAGCACGAGACACCCATAAATTCATCATTGTCTCGTGTTGCTTTGTTTTTAAATATTTTTGTGCCAGATTTTCTAAGTGCACATGCTAAATTGTAAATTTGCCATGGAAACCATATTGTATGATTAAGACAACATGACAGGGCTGAGGCATTATGGCAAGTTACTGTAGTATCTTGTGCCAACCCAGGACAAGTAAGAGAATTAATCTCTGCCAGCGGCTTTGACCTCCCTAATGAATCAGTGGTGCACTCACCCAGGGTATGGAATCAATCCCTGTTTTGGGTATGCAACCCCAGGTATTATTTGAAATCAGAGCCAAAGACGAGTCAATAGCAACATCCATTAGGCAACCAGTGATTCATGTCATTGTATCACACTCATAATATGTACCTTAGTTTTCTTTCCTCTGCTTGTTTTTTTAGTTTTTCTTTACCAATATCGTCTTCCACTGTCGTGAAATCATCTTTGTTTGAAGAATCATGTTGAATATCCTGCAGAGATGAAATTTTAATATTATGGTTTCACCTCATCTCTCATGCACTATACATATGCACTGAACATCACAACAACTATAAACACATAGGTCAATGTGATCGTATACTGTCTGATATTTTACATTATTAAACATATAACAGCAAAAACAATAGAATTTACCATTTACCATAAAATGCTATATCTGCATTTGTTCAAAAACATTTTGTAATTGCTCCAACATTTGAGTTTTTCCTTTTATGGGTTGAACTATTCACAACATTGAATGCGTTCTAGGTTATTGATGTCACAGTCAAACTCAGTTTTCAACATAATAAATTTTTAGTTGACATTTTTGAATGCTATCTTTTATTAAAATATTTCAACAAACAGAAAAATATGTGTACAAGAAGAAGGTTATCACAAAAGTATACTATAAAGTACACACCCAGGCAATACAGGATCGCATAGACAGTTGATATGAATGGTGTACTGCCTTTGTGCATACTTTGCAGTATCCTTGTGATAATTTCATAAATTATACTGTATTACCTTGACACCAACTGTATCTCCATCCTTTAGGTAGAAAGGACCTTGGCGTAAGTTTACTTTTGGCATGTTTTTCCTTTTACCTTTTCCTTGCTTATTCTTAAAAACCTAGACAAAAATAGAACAAACCTTAATAAGAATGACAAGACCATATTTGTTCTATTAGTTGCGCATACCCTTATGTTGATGAAAAAGTTGTATTTATGGTCAAAATAAGTTATATTTTTTTATGATTCATTCGCCCAATAATTGCAATTTTTAGTTTTCTATTGTCAAACATCCATGAAAATGGCCGTTGGTTTCTATGGTGAAAGTTCTCACCATATTTCATAATTTCATTTCACTACATATAGTGAAAACATAATGATATTTCGCATAACTGTGAAATACTGTAAGTAAACTATGATAATATAAGCTTATTTTATACAAAAATACTGGAATTTACGTTCTTGGTTCTTACGCATTGGTACAACAAAAGTATTGTCTGAGACGTGAAGCTTCAGAGACAGTACCATAGCATACAATACCCAAGGACATAACTCCCTGTATTCTGTGTATAACCTCATTATTATTCACCTTTTGTAGACAAAAACAATAAAAAAATAGAAACAGAGCAGTCTAATAGTGCGTTTGTACAGTGTTGGGTTTGCATACGAAAAAAAACTCGGTTGCATAAAATCTGGCTTCACAATCTCCTACACTACTTGTAGTCTGCTGTTTCAATCTGGAATATGATGGTCAGGATTACCGACACCTTATCGTCTCATGCTGATGTAGAACTTTTGACAAATTTCACTAATTTATGTGCAAGGAAATGCCGGCAGTGGTTATCAATAAGTTCCGTTAAGGTGGCAGTATATTTGCTTATTTTCTGGTCATTACTATATGTTACAATACTTTCTGAAGATATTCATAAAACATGGCTGCACAAATTTATGAGCTAGATTTAATGAGTGCATAAGAGAGCGGTTACAGCCTTTCCGATCAAGTAAGAAACGAGCGTTCAGAATTTTTGCCAGTAGAGTGTGTGCGTGTGGTGCGTTCTTTGAATATGTGATATTTTAACTGACATGTACAATAATAAGGTTATTAACAAAATAACTTGAGTAGTTAGAGTTGATGAAATGTGTCAAAAATCAATAATTATGGTACACTTTTGAAACAAAAAATAGTAAATTTGTTGCCTGCGTTTCTTATTAGTTCAAATACTTGCAATCTATTTTTAGGTGGTTTGGACTGACTGAAAAGTTATGGGATTTTCTTACTTCTATCATTATACTGATATTTATATGAATCATGATTTAGTGAACAATATTAAAAAAATTATAATTACTTTAATCAGTTTCCAGTGGGACAACCATTTTCCATTATACACAATGTGTTTCAAATAAGCTCAATATTGCAAAATTTTAACTCAAAAACCCTTTTGTACAGTTGTAGTTGTAACAAAATTAACCAGGATATTACAGAAAATACAAAACAAACGTACCAAATATGGCACCAAAATTTAGGTGAGACAAAATGATGATGTTGATAGAACTATTTTTACTAATACATACATTTGCATTAAGTGATGACTCATCTAGAATCATCCATTCATATTGTTCAGTCCAGTGCTTAGCTATTTGTAGATTCTCCATCTGTAAACACAATCTATCTGCAATAGTCTGTTTTAATATCAGTGGTGTAGCGCCTTTAGATGTATCTAATATCATCTCTTCACACGGTGTGTATGACCTGGTGTCTGGCATTCTCCGACAGATATTTAACACGATTGTGTTGGTACTGTGCATTAATAAAAATAAGTATTATAAAAATTATTAATTAATATCAAATATATTGATGGTCAACTACTTTTGCAAAAAAGATTTAGTGGCTCACCAAATCATTTTATCTGCATTATTATTAATTAAAGTGTCATGCATAGATGACTCACAGTAAACGTTCATGTTAAACAGATGCAGAATAACAACTGAAATGCATTGAAGTGGGTAGTCTTTGGAAAC